GGAGAAGCGGCGGAGAGGCCGCCCTCTCCCGGCACGGCCCGGCCCGGCCGCCCTGCCGGGCACGGCCTCCCCTCGGGTAAGTGCTCCGTGTGGGGGCCACAGGGAGAGCTGCGCCGGAGGGGCTGTGAGCGAGTCGGGGCTCTCGGCACCATCTGGTTCTTCGGGTGCCTTCTCCAGGCCTGCTCCCCCATTGAGCCTGTCACTACCCCCCAGTTCGGCTGTGTCCCACCGCCTGGAGCCTTTGCAGCCAGGGGACCCCTTCGGTTATCGAACCGATTTCTGTTCAGAGTTGAGAAATTATTTTCAACCTGTGCTCAAAATCAAAAGGTGTACAACAACTCTTCCCCTCTTTGAGATTTGTGACTGTGGAGACCTCTTCCAGAGGGACCTTACAGTTTCTCCTCGGGAAGAGCTATGAAGCAAGGGTGGACAGCACATCTCTGTGCTATGGTTGAGCATCACCGAGAGACTTTGATACAGACTGCTTCAGAAAGCTCTGTGCTGAGCACCACTCCTCGGAGGAGCAGCTGAGAATTGGGACTGTTCAACCTGGAGAGGAAAACGCCCAGGGGTATCTTATTAATAGATACACATACCTGAAGGGAGGGAGAGCCAGGCTCTTTCCAGTCATGCCCGGTGATGTCACCAGAGGCAAAGGGGACAGAATGGTACACAGGAAGCCCTGAACATCAGGAAACACTTTTTTCACTGTGAGGGTTACCAAGCACAGGAGCAGTTTGCTCTGAAAGGTTGCAGAATCTCTATCTTTTAAGATAGTTGAGAGACACCTGGGCATGGTCCTGGACTATGGGCTCTAGGTGGTCCTGCTGGAGTAGGTCCTATAGAGTTCACTTACAGTATCAACCTTTCTGTGATCCCTTTGCCTCAAAGCCCCTGGGTAAGTCTTTGATAAAGGCCAGGAGGCATTTTAAATCTGGGACCTTTGAGCCTTGTTGTGATGCACTGATGTGTTTCCTTTCCTCAACTAGTGAGCAAGCCCATAAGACACAAGCCCAACAACAAATTCATGGCAACATCTGGAGGAACTGGCCGCTCTCCCCTCAGTGTTCTACAAGACGATAATTCTCCCAGTGCTCCTGCCCCTCGCCAGGTAAAGCTTAATGGGCCTTACTAAGGGAGGGAGATTGAGCTGGGAAAAAAAACCTTCAATTTCTGTATCTTGTAGGGTCCCAGTTTAGAATTGTGGCCTCCTAGGCCTGCAAAGACTAGGAACTTCACAAGTGTTTTTCTCTGGGTCAGTCTTGCCACTAAATGCCTTTGAGTTTTGTTCAATGTCTGTCTTTGGCCTTACAACGATATTTCCCATTTCAGTGCATTCTTTCTCTTTAGGCTGTAGAAAAATGTCACTCTTGTATATTGTCACAAGTGAGTCCAAGCTGAATGGCCTGAAAATAGGCTACATATTCTGCTGAGAATTAAATAGCCTGCAATTAACTTGTGTTTTACACTCTATGTTTGGGTTTTTTATTTCTCTAGGGCAAGAGGCATGTTTTGGGAGAGAACCTTGGGGAGAAGAAGGAAGTGGATCCGAGCAGGAGCCTTAAATCTGGGAACTGTGCTTGGAGTGACTTGAACAAAGAGAACCAACAGTGTCCTTTTGTGGAGAACTAGACACTTCTTTTTTCAGGATCTTGCTATAATTTGCTCCTATGTTTTGAGAATTTCCTAGTGGGGAGAAATCCTACAATAGACTGAAACACCAAAGAAGTGGTCATATTTCTCAGCCTCCCTGTTAGGGAAAGATCTCTCCCTCCTCTTCCTAGTTTGTTGTGTCTTATGTACAGCACAGACTTTCTATTTTTTATTGTATATCAGCTGTATTGATTTTTTTCCATAGAGTTTTTATCTCTAGTAAATAAATTTGTGTTCAACCTTTGCTGACCGTATGTCCTGATATTGTGCTTGCCCAGCACAGTATTTTCTTTGGGGCAAGGGTTCAGGAACAAATAGTTCAGCCTTCCATTAGTCTTAAAACTGCCTTCTCCCCTGCCTGGAGCATGCTGAAGGGTACGGCCTTGAATCCATGTACAGCAGCGCTAGCGGGGAAGCTGCAGCTCCCTGCAGGAAACTGATGTATGTCCAGTGTCACCTCTGGAGTTGTACTGCTCCTGCTCTGAGCTGAAACGCAGTTATGCAAGAGTCTGTTGTGAGGCTGAGATCCAAGCTAACATCAGATAGTATTGTCTGTTAATACTGACCTTGTTGATCTCCAGCTCTCCCTCTCAGCCTTGGGACCCCCAGGATGTTTCTCTGAGCCAACAAGTGAAATAGGGGCTGAATAAAATGTCTGTGTCCTGTAACTGAGCTAAAATGTCCAAGCTTTGAAAGGATGCACTTTCAGCTTGCTTTCTCAACTTCAGCCTCTTCTCAACTAAAACTTTTGAGGAACACCCTCCCCTGGAGACTGTGAGCTGAAGCATGGTCTGTGGATGAGGTGGTGACTGGTTGAGACCAGCAGGCAATATTCACAGGAAAGGAGTTGTGTTTTCAGTAGCTCATTGCAATGCTGGAAAGAACACAGCCTGCAGTGCTTCTGTGAGCTTTCTTTATTTGCCTGGGCTATGAAGATCTAAACAGACTTGAAAACATGGGCTGATGGCTACTGGTTAGATAGGGTCACCACACAATGCAGGAGTGAGGCAAAGAGGGAAGGAACAGCAAGAAGCAGACAATAAATAATAAATATAATATTCCCTGATATTCTGGCAGGTCTGGAGGGCAACCTTTCTGCCATTTATGCATAGATAAGACTTGAACTAAGAAGAATAAATGTATTCCTTGCTATTCTGGCAGGTCTGAAGGCTGCCTTTCCCCTCTTTCTGCATAGATAGGACTCGAGCTAAGTGGTCCCCCATGGAAATGAGCCAAATTTACACCAGCTTTATGTTTGAGGTGGTGCCATAGAAATCTCAAATCCAGTGTCTCTGGGGCTGTCTGCATGGATACATGACAGCTGCACAGAGAAGTTAGGCAGAGTTAAAGCAGGGAGAGAGCTTACTCTGGGATGGGTGTTGCATGAGGGGTCTTTTGAAGGAAGAGGATGGGTTTCACTGTGGGTAGAGGTGTTTGAAGAAAGGTGCAGGGTGTCTGAATTGTACTGCAAAGTCCTGAGACATAAAGAACAGGTCTTCAAGCCTGCACAAGGCTGGAAACTGCTGTTTAGAGGTGGAGAGAAGGGCCAGTGCATGTGCTCTTGCTCCCCAGCTCCCCCTGCTCCTCCCTGATCTCCTTTCCCTTTCGCTCTGGGAGACTCCTACAAGTGACCTGTGTCTAGAGACAAGTGGGAGTGGTAGGTAGGCGTTTCTGTTGTGCTCATCTGATGATGCTCAGGCTGTGGGCCGTGCTTTCGCTGCTCTTCCCCTCTCTGCTGGTGTCCTCAGTTCCAAATCTTGAGGAAACTGTCCCAGGAGCCAGTGGCAACAGCCATGCCATCCGCCGTCACCCCCAGGCAGCTTACTCTGTTGTCGTGGCCAGAAAGGATTCCTGCGGTGGCAAAGAAGAGAGGTCAGGGAGCGAAGGGGAGCCCATGAGAGGTGACGGGGTTGGCCCTGCCAAGGACATGCGTCACAGGCCGTGCCTACACGCCGTGCATGGCCCTGTCTGCTCCTGCACGACCCCTCACGGTCCGTACGCGGCAAATAGGAACAGACGCGCAGAAGAACTTTTGTGCGTGCCACGCAACCACCACCTGCAGGCCCGGCCAGAGGGTTGTTGGGAAGGTATGGCCAGCTGAGTCCTCATATAACTGCTTTCACCCCGGAGTGATGGTAAGACTAAGGTTGGATGGGGGCCTTGATAAGGCTGAGAAACAGCAATGCTGTTGGTGGGCTGTGTTTCATGACTTTTCAGAGGGTAGGGGCCACATCTGAAAAGAAAAATGCCATGTGTTCTGTGTATGAGCATCACAGAGTGCTCGAAGATGTTGGATGGAAGCCCAGGTGCACACTTGGCTCGGTGCCTGGCCACCAAGTGGCACTGTGAGTACCTGGAACAGGCAAACTGCAGGCTAGGAGAAAGTAGGATATTCTATTGGTGGCTGTGAGCAGTTCTAGCTAATAAGAACCTTCTTCTTCCCCTTGAAACAGCGTTGTTTAAAGGCTTGACTTCCTTAACATTAAAAACAATAGCTCTTCCATGGCAGTAAGAGTTGTCCTTGTTCTGGTGTGCTTCCTAAGTGCGAGGGAGCTTTGCTGGGTTTCAGTCAGTACAGGATGCCTTGCATTTAGAAAAAATAAGTGCCTTATTATGCCTAGGACAGGGACAGGAGGCCTTACAGGGAGTGAAAGAGGGACCTCAAGGAGCCACTCACCCACACGCTCTGCTTTCAGGGAGTCCCAGATGTTGCAGTTGAAGTCGTCGTAGCCAGCAAACAAGAGCCGCCCGCTGCGGGAGAGGGCGATGGAGGTGATTCCGCAGATGATGGTCTCGTGGGAGTACATGATGAGCTCCTGGTCCGCCCGCAGGTCGAAGAGGCGGCAGGTGGCATCGTCGGAGCCGGTGCAGATGGCTTCGCCGTTAGGGAAGAACTGGAGAGGGCACACAGTGTGTCTTAATGAGGTTTTCTCCAGATCCCTATGGAATTCTTCAACTCGTCACTCCCCCCTGCTAACCACCAGGAAGCCACGGAGGCAGGAAAGCCTGGTGGGACCAGACACTGGATCATGAAATTTGAGTCTGCTGAAGGGGGAGATTGATACTTCTCATAAAGCCTAATAAACCCCTTCCACTCCAAGAAAACAAATGGCTTAAGGGGCTAGAGCTGTTGCACGATATCTCAGTGCTTGGGGAAGGATTATTTTAACTCCAGCAGTTAGGCTGGGCCTTGACAAGTGTCCACCCATTATCCCCCAGCTGAGGTCTGACATAATTCTGGCTACCACAGCCTTCCTCTGTCTGATCCTCATATCCCAGCCTTCTCATACATGCTTGTTTTCTGTGGTCTTGCTCTGAGGAGTAAATAAAGGGCTCCTCAGGAGCAGGTATGGCAGAAAAGCCTGTGGCTGGCAAGGTAGCCATGGGACAACTGAGAAAGCTTTGAATTGACATCAGTGGAGGGTGGTTTGAGCAGCAGACCGCAGGAAGCTGGCAGGCTCATTTGGTTAGCTACAAGGATTAGTCTGGCATGTTTCTTGTCCTGCCATCTCTGCAGCTCTGAGGGAGCTGCCTCCTATAAAAATTTAATCTTCAGAAGATCTCCCTGTGATCCCAAGTCCCCACCTCTTCTGTCTGGAGCCAATCTCAGCTGAGTTAGGTGCTCCTGCTGCCTCACTTGTGTTGCACCAGGGCTGCTGGAGCGTGCCTGAACCACAGTTCCCAACAGCTGCTGTGAGCAGAGCTGGACCAGCACCTGTGTCAGGGTGCTCAGCTCCACAGACCATGGTGTGCTGCCTGTCCAAGACATGAATGCTTTGGTGCCTGGGGAGAACCCTCCTCCAAACTTCAGTGAACTTGGGCACTCCCTGCTTCAGGCAAGGTCTAAGACCCTTGTTACCCTCATGACTGTGACAGCTTCTTTCACCCTTGTCCCAAGGCTGTTTCGGAGCTGTTCCACTCCCCAGTTTCCTCCCCAGCACTGTGCAGACAGCATACGTACGGAGATGGCGTTGATGTCGGACTCGTGTCCTGAGAAGGTCTGACGGCAGGAGCCCTCCCGCACGTCCCACAGTTTGGCAGTAGCATCACAAGCCCCAGACACGAAGAGTTTGAAGTCAGGGGAGACGGCCAAGCTCATGCAGTCTCCAGTGTGACCAATGAACACAGTCTTCTGCTGCCCCGTCTCGATGTCCCAGAGCGCGCTGCAGGAGGGGAGAGGAGAGAAGATCTCAGAGCCAGCCCAGGCAGAGCAGACCTACAGCCAGGCTGAAGAGCTGTCCCACTCACAAACAAAAGGAGGGAAGCCGTCGCTACAGCAGGGGAAAATGGGTGAGCGCATCCCTGAAGTCAGCTGTATACAACAAGAGATTTCTTCACAGCTGTTGTTGACAATACCTTTGCCAAAACAGAGTTAGACTAAGGCTGGGGGTGTGTGAGGTTTGGCATATTCCCATAAGTGTAACAGCTGAAGGGAATACTGAGAGACAGTAAGAGGGACAAAACCAGCAAAAAATAGCAAACAGCTGGAAAAGGTCTTCCATGTCCACGCTTGTAAGAGCTTGTAAAGCTCTTGTTCAGTGGGATCCCACTCCACATTCAGGCAAGCAAGCCCTGTGTAACCCTGATCTCTGATGGAAATGCCACTTGTCCTTGGGCAAGAGGTTTTTCCAAAGCAGTTATTGGGATGGGGTGGGGTGAATAAAGACTCAGGATGGTTCAGAGTCATAGCACGGTTCCTGAGAACCAGGAACCAAAGGATCCAGGCACTGCCTCTGCAGTGTCCCTTGCACAGAGGGCAACTATATAACGTACGGAGAACGTATTCGTGCTCCACATAAAACACCTTCTGTCCCGGTACAAATGACACTGTTCTTTGTGAGAACTGTTGACATGAGCCCTACTGCTTGACCTGGCTTCAGCTGGGAAAAGAAACATCTGTTCTGCCAAGGGAGGAAGAATGGATCAGGCTTCCTAAGGTGCTCCATGTAGCCTCCCCATGGAGGAACAATTCCTCCTTAGAAAGTGGAGTGCTGAAGAAGAGAGGGACTGCACTTGTTGCTGTGCTAAGAGCAGAAGTCAAGTCACTAGGATGCAGGAGAGAGCACTCACCATGTGGTATCTCCAGAGCTAGTCACAATATTGTTGTCATCAAGAAATCGGCAGCAGGAGAGGTATCCTGGGAAGCGAGAACAAGCAAATATGGGAAAAGGGGCAGGGATAGAAGGGTGAAGTTTGGAAGCAGGGGGCACACAGCTGCAGGCAGGCAGAGCACACACCTGTATG